GAGTTACGAGGGACTCTCTGCACACGCTTTGGGTGGTTTCCAGTTTGCGAGGGATGGGCGAGTCGTGCTTTGGTGGTCGAGCGAACATTTTTGCGGCGCCGTTCGGGTCCATGGTCGTCTCTCTCGGAGGGCTTATTTCACGACAGCTCGGTCGTCGTTGGCGGCGGTCGCGGCTGTCGGGGCTTTCCTATGCCGTGGTGCCGAGTTGTGGATCGTTGCGTTCACCCTCGCTCATCGTCGTGCAATGATTGCCGCCTGATCGCCGACGGCGGTCCGGTTGGCAGTCGTTTGCAGGGTTTGGTGGCGGAGGTGCCCGTCACCGGCTCTCAGCTACGGCACCATCGTCCCGTAGGTTACAGGGAGAGTTGTTGCGGCTCTGTTGTGGTGTCGTCTTCATGTCCGCATTCACAACGGCGCGTTCCATTTGTGTTGAGGGGGTGTCACGACTTGGTGAGGACGCTCTGCGCTCTTCGCCATCCGAGCGGCGCCATTGAGCGGTGGCGCACGTGGCCTCGGCCATGCACGCGCTGCTGACCGTATGCGAGGGTGGAGACTTGTGGGATGCGTGATGCACCCTCCGACGGCGTCGCGAGGCTGGGCCCGTCATCCGCCCGACTTTTTGGAATGCGTGCTTGTGCCCATCGTGTCCCCCATCCTGTGTTCTCGGTATGCTGCACACTGTGACGGATCGCGTTGCGTCGTGGTTCCGCTGCGTTTGGGTTGTGGGCTTCGTAGGCTACTGTCCTCTGTCTCCTGGGTTTCGCCTGCSTCGAGTGCTGTTGGTGGTGCCTGAGGCAACCGGCGGATGTGGACCCAGGGGGGTGGTATCCGCCTGTGGGCCGAAGCTGTCGGAGGTTCCTTCGCGCGCGCCGTTGTTTGGGTAGTGTGGGGGGGTAACTTGCGATCTCTGGGTGTGGTGTGGGCGGGTGTTGTTCGCGGCCAATCTCTTGGGTGGGTGCGGAGGGCTGTGTTGCATTGTGCGGTACCTTGCCGTTGGAGATGGCCTACGGAGGGAAGTTCACCTGCAATTCAAACAGCCGAACTTCGCGGCGTCTCGGCAGCTCATTGCACGTTCAATGATTGTTTGACGTTCTTTTGGTAGTCTGTCCGGCGTGACGTGCCTACGTGCGCCTCGGCCATCGCTCCTTGCGGCTTCTTGTCACACCCGCTACCTGGTTGTTCCTGCCAGTAATCATATGCTTGTCTCAAAGACTAAGCCATGCACGTCTAAGTGTGAACACTTTGCACTGTGATTATGACGATAGGGGAACCAGTGTGATTAAGAAGGATAGGGAACACGAGGTATAGGTGGAGTAAACTGAGTATAGTGATTGAATGGAACGGTTTGGTTGTGAGGCTAGTTGACTGGACAGGAATGCCCCCCCACAGAGGAGTGGAGGGTCGAGATGGGCTATGGGGGGGTCCGGGTACCGTCTGGATGTTTCCCGCCCCTCATGCCCCGCCCCGACGTCCCTCCTGTAGTGTAGGAGGCCATCCCTGTCGCAGCCCCCTGCTGTTGGTGTCCCGGGCCAGGCAGGTTAAGCCTTTCCTTCTTTGCTTTTCTACCACCATTTCTAATTCACTGTGACT